TTTGTTAAGTTTTATACCATTACCATTTCATACCATTATACGAACTGTACTTCTTTGTATTGAAATAACAATTATCACAAATAATTTTAATGGGACAAAAATATCACCTGATTCGATTATTTGTTACTCGTATAAAAAACATCTTGTAGAAAAAAAGTTTTATTTTTATAGAAATTTCAAAGCAAAATGGAAGTTTTGCCAGTTTTATGGTCAAAAAACACATAGTTTGGGCAACTTATTATTTTAATACACAAATTTCAGTTTTTATGAAATTAAATACAGAATGGGTTTTTTCGCTATTACCCAAAAATATAAGATATTATTTTCGAAACGAAGAAATATATTGTTCTTTTGTTTAATATTTTATTAACGTAATGTTTGTCAACCTGGGTGTACCTTTGACAATCATACTTAATTTAAAACGTTTATATTTATAATATAACGTAATGTTGGCAAAATGTTTGAGAACAATATTTGTAAAAATTTTGAAATATAACACGGATCTTCTCCAGTTAGTGCAAAAGGTCGTGTGTTTATGTGTTGATGTAGAACAAAACTTTTCACTGCTAAAAAAGCATTTTAAATATGAAAAAAATTTCCTACACTATGACAAATGGGCTGCACAAGAAAATTTTTTCCGAACTACAAAACGAGAAATATAATTGTCAATTTTTTTAAAATTTCACATCGAAAATTTCATTCGGTCGTTCACTAGTTGGATAAAAATTATTGAAAATTTAGTTAAACAATAGGGGTTGTTTTCTTGACATTATTGGTTTTATATCAAATTGTCAAAAAGATAATATAAAAACTCTTTAGAAAAATAAGCAGGTATTTAGAAAGAAAACTGAGGATCTCTGTACAAGCGAATGCTAGTATTATATGAAAAAAACTCGCTTAAAAATATTGTCATTTGAAAAAGCTTTTATTTTAGGCAATTTAATTTAATTAAACGTCAATTACGGTATTGCCACAACAACTGTTTCAATACTGTAATTGACGTTTAGTGATTGATCTTCAGTGTGTATTATAAAAAACGGCAACTCTCATTATAACTGATTCGATAAGGCAAAACGTAACAGCAAAAAAACTTGTTTTTGCAAAAAGGAAACCTAAAACCAATTAAATTATAAATACATGCATACATACTGTTATACATACATATTATGTGCTTATATACATATTATGTAGGCATGTACATTTAAAAAAAAACCAGGTCTTCAGTTAACGAAAACAAAAACAATATAATTTTTGCTGTTTTAATTGTTTTATTTTTATATGTACATATATAAAATTAAACACTATTTAAGTTATATGTACAAATTTATGTACATTACCTACTTGTATTTAATAATGTATGAACTTGTCTTCTCAAGTTTTAAACGCATATTCTTCAAATATACCTTTATTTTTATAAAATTTGCATGTATGTATTATGTGAATATCAAGAAAAATAATAGTATAAAACGGAAGGAAGTGATTTATTTCAAATCGATATTATGGCAACAATTTATTGTAACAATAATTACGAAAAAAAAATCATAACTGTTATAAAAAAACATGTTCAAAAATATTATTAAAATCAAAATTGCAAATTGTATTTGAGAAAATTTTCTAATAAAAAAAAAACTTCTAACGCTTTCAACGTAACAATTCTTCAATACACATAACATGTAAGGGCTGCCGATGCATGTGAAGTCCCCTATAGTGAATTACACATATGAAAATTTTTATGTCATGATATATTTTTAGTTATAATAAAAGCATTTGAACTTTGATATTCGGAGGTAAACCATCCACATATAAAACGTGAACTTATGGCACTTTACATATATACATACACAAATATAATATATAGAATAGGAATGTGAATTGTATAAGAGTGTGTTGCATAAAGTACTTGTACAACAGTAGCGCGTTGAAATGTTTTTAGTTTTTTCTTTTCTTGTTTTTGTTTTAAATAGAAATCACAAAAATGTTGATTTATATTTGAGTGTTCGTTAATTGAATAAGACAATTAATAATAGTTATACATGGGAATATAAACTTACATAGAAAGTGTGTAACTATTATACTCACTTTCTTCTCACTTGTCGAGTTCCTAAGTATCCGGAGTTAATATACTCATCGAATCATACAGTAATAGTTTTTCTTATAGAGAATCAATAATTTTACAATAAATTTTTTAATTTAATAATAAAATATATTTGTAGGGTTGGATTGTAATAGCTCTGCAGGGACGTTTCAGTTGCATCACACAAATATGATACTCGTATTTTTTTGAGTTACTTTTTGAAAAATTTACTTGATGTTAAAACTTTAAAAATTTTTGGTATACTGTAAAAAACAAATTTCACATTAAAAATTTTTTAAATTTCTAACTCAACTGTTTATTAATGTTATTTAATTTTTATTCTAAATTTTTCAAACTAAAATTATTAAATTACTTTAAATTGAAACTCAATATTACAAACTATTTTCTACAGAATTTTCTACAATTAGGTAGGGTTTTTTGACATAATAAACATACTTAATTACGCTTAATTATAATAGATTTTTATGTATCAGTAATCTTACTCTAACTAAATAAATCAGTAAAAAACTGTAGGCTTTTATGTTGGTTAAAAATTTTCAATTTTTGCTAGAATTTTCCTTAATTTATGGAAAATTGTATGCCATTACGAAATTATTTTTCCATACTGAATAGGCATTTTTTTCACAACTAAGATGTAAAGTTTTATAAAAACAAGCTTTAGTCTTGAATTGGTCAATTGGGAAAAATTTTTCTTTGTGATGTGCTTTCTTTTTTTATGTTGTATGGTAATTTAAAAATTTCTAGATGCTTTGTTTTTATTATTTCTTTTAATTATTTTGCAAAATATAGGAAAATTTTTTTTAGTGTACTTTAAAACTCATAAAGGTAAAGCTTATTTGATTTTTATCAATAATTAGTATATGTATATCCTATATTAAAATACTTTTTCCTTGTTTTTTTTTTAAGTTAATAAAAACAAAGATCAAGTATTTTTAGCTTTCGGTACAATTAAGCCTTCATTTAAATGTAGTCTTTTCACAACTACGTATGTATGTATACTTTAATAAAATTATAAAAACGGATTCGAATTTTCGAAATACACGTTTTTACGAGCATATACTTACATATTTTCATTCTATCTATATCGTAATATATTTTCTTAATATATTTTATTATGCCATCGTAGGCATATACTATGGATAGTGTTATGAAAGAAACTATAAAAACAACAAAAAAATAACATATGTACCTATACGTCATTTACGTTTCCTTGGAATTCATACTAGCTGCACCCCGCACTATACAGTTGTTCATACTTTGTTACATATTTATATATGCTTGTATCTGCAAATTTCAAGCGACATAATATACATAATTTACATTCTACATTCAATTATAATTCAGTATGACACAAATTGGACTAACTGACAGCGACTCCAAAGCTACAATTATGTATCATATTGTTAGTTTCGTTCAATTTTTAAAAAAGAGAACAACTACTGTGTCAAAAATAATTATGTAGCGCTGCAAACAATTGCTGTTAATCATTTTTTCTCTTTATCTTTTTTTTAGATTTCTTTCATGGATGTACAATAAAATATGTTTAGTTAGTCTGATATGTTTTCATAGAAAAACGTTTAAATATAGTCACAATTATTGTCTTTCACAAGTAAAAATGTTATTTTTCATATTGCAACCGCTGAAATTTTAGTTGAATGTATTATTTAAAACAATATAATTGCATAAAGTAAAATGGGAAAGTAAAAGATTGCCTCTTTTGATTTTTATTGTACCTTTGAAAAAATTGATCGATTTGAATTGTGGACAAAAAGATTAAAAAATATATGTAGTTGAAATTATGTATAATAATATACAGTTATGTATAATACAGTTGAAAACTGAATGTATAATATTATGATAAAAATTTTTGTAGGAAAGATGAATTTGGCTGAGAATGATTTTAAAAATTTTGCAGCAATTTTTGAAATTCATATAAAATGTTTGTGTGGTGAAATCAAACCACTATAATTTTTATTGATATTATATTAGTTGAAGATGATTTATAATTTGGGAAGTTATTTATGATCGCATCTAAACCAAACTAGCATTTGATCTTTTTCATTAATTTTTCACTAACGTATATTTTTTTATTTGCCGCACTTTTGTCGCCGAAAATTCTAATTTTGTTCAAAAAATAATTATATTTAAAAAACGGCCGCGAGACATATTTTTTTTGAAAGCAAAAAAAAAAGGTTTTTATAAAATTTTCACAAATTATTTAAACAAACATAAATATTTTATTAAAAATTAAAGCTACCATGTATCAAACTTAAATACTTCCTAGCAACCGTAAACAGCACGAAATTGTAAGTTAATAAAAAAATTGAAATTATTTTTATAATTTAAAAAAATTGAAAGATTTTTATAATTTCATTTTGCTATTTAGTAATCATAATAAATCAAATACAATAAAATAAACTTGTAGTCAAAGCGGGAAATATTAGTGAAATATTTCTTTTGACTCTCTCTGTAGTTATTATATTGCTTTATAATATGTATACGTTAAGTAATAAATTGCCACAATGAAGAATATTGTCGCACACCACAAAAATATACAGAAAAGAGTTTTCAGAAATTATTTTTATACATTTATGAAAAAAAAAAATATTTTACTAGTTCTCCTTAATTTTGTACTTAATATTTTTTTTTTTATTTCAAAATTTATTTTCTATAGAATCTGTATTGTGTGTCATCACCATATGTTATTAAAAATGTGGTTTGCTGGAAACGTGTACATCAGTATATGCGCCTTGTTTTAAATTTCAACTGCGTTGAGTTTTTTTTCTAGGTAAATTTTTTTTTTTTATTTTCCTCTCTATTTTATACTGGCTGACTGATGATGTGTTGTTTGTTGCTTTTGCTTTCAGTAAAATTAAATTGGTTTTAGCTAGTTTTGAAATTTTTATAAAAATTTCTGCGAGGTAGTCTGAATTGATCGCTTGAAGTGAAGATTTCACTTGATTTCATTTGAGTGGAAATATTAAGAGAAATAGTTGAATTTTTTTTTATTTTTTTCTTCTTAATACTTAACTCTATTTGATTTTCACATATTAAAAAATTATATAAAAAAAAAATATGAAATTTCTACTTAGGTCTAAAACTATTACATAAAATTAAAATAACTTTGTATTAAATAATCAATTTAAATTAGAAAAAAAAGAGAAATTTTCATAAATTCCGTTATTTCGTCGCAGAAAAATTTGTGATAATATGTACTCGTGTATGTGAATTAAGTAAATAAAAAATATCAAAGTCCGGATCTTAATTTAAAAAAAAAAATAAAAACATAGTCGTGAAAACCTGAACGAACATTCGACGTTGTCGCAATTATAACACAAGCAAGGCAAAAAAAAGAATAAAAACAACTATACTAAATAGTAAACGAAAAAATATTTTTCTTAATTTTGTCGTCGCCGTAATTTCTTTGCTTGGTTTTTTCGAGTTTTCGTGTTATTTTTTTCATTTTTGCAGCTAAACAAAGACTGGGGCGTATATTCATTTTTTTGGATTAATTCTATAATTTTTATTTCAACAAATAAAGAATTTATTGAATATTAAATTTAACACAAAGGAGAACAAAAAAATTGGATTGCAGTTAAGTAAAACAAAAAAAGTGTTGTAACCAGAGAATTTTATATTGGAGAAGTAGACATTAAATACAAATATGCAAATATAAAAATATTTTACACAAAAGCAAATATAATTAAAGAAAAGAAAATGTAAGTGTTAATGCAATGTCAAAATTAAAAAAAGTTTTACAAAAAGAAAAAAAAATAATTTTGCAAAATTAATCAGAATATAAAATGAAAATAAGTTTTACATAACCCCAATTATTTCTGAAATCTGTGTTTTTTTGTGGTTTATAATTAAAAATATATTTGTATGTATGTATGTGTTTTAATATATCTACTATAAATTTACCTAGTTAACCAAGTATATAAGCTTGTAAAAATATTCTGCTAATTTTAATGCTAATATGAATATTTAATTTCTAAAATCTTTTATCTACTATTTTTTGAGTTTTAAAATTAAACAAAAATTAAAGTATGTTGCATACATTTTTGTTCTCTCTGTGAAAAAAATTATTTTGCAAACATATTTAAGCAATTATAATTAAGCACTAAAGTAAGTAACGTGAAAAAAGTAAGTGAAGTAAAAAAAAAATACATAGCTAATTTATTTACTAGATTTCCTTTTTATTTAAACCAGAGTATTGTATTTAGTTTTCAAATTCAGTTGTCTACCATGATTTTATTTAAGTGTCACTATCTCTCTATACAAAAGTACATAAAATACTTACACGCACTTGTTAATATAAAATAATAAAAGTGACTGAATTCGACACAATTACATACTTTAAAAAAAATTAAAAATTCAACAAAATATTAAACTACGCATTAAACATTTTTTTCAGCTGAATTTTGTCCAACAATCTGCCATAAAAAAAAATATATTAAAGTATTTTAAGATTTTATTTTCTACGTAAAAAATACAAAATAAGAGAGAACGAAAAAAAATTTTTTTTTTGTTGTTTTTTTAAAGTTAAAGTGATAGAAAAAAGTGGAATATTTCATCACATTCAAACAGTAAAACGAATTGTTAAAATTTTTTTTAAATAAATTAAAATGGAAAAAGAAATAAGAATAAACTCATTGCTAATTTAAACTTAAGCTTTGCATATTTAAATTTTTTTTTATTTATTTAACTACATATACAATGTAGGTAGGAAAATAAATATGGATGAATGTAGTCTTTTTTTAATTAAATTCTCATACAAATAAATTACATTGAGATACAGTTGTTTGCAGTGTACAAAAATTTGTATGTGTTTGGAAATATTTATAATTTATATGTACGAAACACACATTATCATACCAAATATTAGACAAATTTATATACATATGTGTATTAGAAAATGAATTTCTATTTTTTTAGAATACAAATTAATATTTAGTAGATAAAACTAGAATTTTCTAAATTTTATAAATTAGCAGCTATTTAATTTACTTTTTAAATATCAAGTTCGACGGAAGACAAAGAATATAAAAAAAATTGTGTTCATATAATCTAAATGTATTATACGTACCTACTCACCTATCTACAATTACATACAATAGTGGGAATTAAATTATATGTATATTTTCTATAGTTTTGTTAATATAGGTAATTACGTACATACATGCATGTATGTTGATAAAGAAATGATTACAATTATAATTGCTATTACTGTGTTTATAGATTACATTATTATTATATAGGAATTATATATATCTTGCACGTAAAATTTCATAATATTTAAAATATAATTTTCAAAAATAAATAATTAACAAAAATAAAAAATGCCAACAAAATCACCTAACTATAAAATTAAAAAAAAATACCCACCATGAATTATTATTGTTGCTACAATTTTGTGGTAACAAACTTAGTTATTGATACTACAATTTTTTAGCTTAAAAACTGGTTGTTTAAAAGCACACAATTTTTGAAAGATAAAATAATGACAGAGTCAGCGACAAAAAATCGTTACTAAAAAATATTAATGTGATAATAATCTGCAGTTGTAGTTGTGGTGTTTTGTTCTTTCATTACTTCTTGTCATTTCTCATTTCCTCTCTCCCTCTCTGTGGTTTTCAATATTTTTACTTTTTTTTTTTTTTTACTTTTGAGCCATTGAGCTGCTGTTGCCTTGTTGCTGACTCAAATGATGTAGTTCCACAATTTTGACATAAAAATTGGATTTTTCATTTGAAATAAAAAAAAAACGATTGTGAATAAAAATAACAATAAGAACAAAGAATAAAAATGTTAATGTACGAAAGTTATTCATACGAAAAATAAAAAAAATAAAATTAAATAAACAGATAAAAAAACAAAAATTTTCTAATATGTACGTAAAATTTAGATAAGACGTGGATTGTAGTTTGTTGCCGTTTACTTTAATTTTTTTTTGTACGCAATTGATTTATACATTTAATTACTCATTCTAAATTAATATTTTTTTTGATTATAGGAATGGAGATTTGAATTAGATCTAGGTAATATTGAAACTTTCAAATTCAACTAACTGCTAAGAACATATATTCATAAAAAAATTAATAATAAATTTATTGTAGGAGAAAAATATAGAAGTTTATATACCAAAGTTTTTTAACTCGTGGCTCTAATACTTGCTTATGAATTTACTTTAGACTTTTTTCAAAATTCGAAATCTCATTCAGTTGATTCAAAATTTAAGAAAAATTTTCAATCAACTGAATTAAATCCAGAACTACAACTAGTTTAATTCAAATTTTATATTCAATAATTTTTTTTGAATTGTAAATATGAATCTGATATGAAAGGAGGTAAAGCTACCTATTTGGAATAAAATTAAAATTATTTTAATTAAAAAAAACTACATTAAAAATAATTCACCCCTATCAGCAAAATGATGAAAACACCATACTCATTATTTCTATATACTTGCATATGTACATATGTACTTTTTCTATGTTGTTTTTGTATATGTATGAAAGTATACAAAAAATTTATGAAATCTAAAATATTAATACAAATTTTTATAGAATTTTATTTTTTGAAGGAATAATGCAGAAAAAAAATTCTGTATTGTTTTATATTTTATCTATTTGAAAATATTTCAAGGAAATTTTATATTGTCCATTTACTTTTAATTCAATGTTTTCGCTTTGTTATTTAGAAAACAACAAAATTTTCAATTTTTGTTTTGCACAATGTTTATTTTATTTTTGGTATGCGGAAATTTTATTTCCTTGAAATCTGAAACAAAGCAATAAAATATAATGAAATTAAAATTAAAAAAGTAATTTTTTCAAAATGTTCGATGAAAACATTAGTTTAATTGTAACAAATGCATTATATGAAGGTTAACAAATTCTAGAAGTCTCATTGATTTGCCATTTAAAGTAGTATTAAAGGACATATTCAAGAAACAGGAACACTGAAAATGGCCATAAATAGAAAATAATAAATTTCAAATCGCAAAATTTTCTAATAAAACCTATTTTCCTTTTGTTAAAAATACTTGTAGAAAATCAGAGTCATTGTAAATTTGAATTGAACTGAATTGATGTCTTCTTTAAAACACAAAAAAACTTTAAAATTAACTTTAAAAAAAATCCTTTAAATTATTTTGAAAGCTCGTTTGAATTTCAAATTTTGTAGGTACGAGTATCAGCCCAGGATTAATAATTCCAAAAATATTTTGAATCATAAAATATGGAGTCTTTTAATACTTTTAATAATAGGTGGTTTTTTTAAATTTTTTAAATTAACATTTTTTTTGTTTGCTCTGGTTTCTTTAATCTTAGAAAGTTTTATCGCATTAGTTTTTATTTACTGTCTTTAAGGTTTCGTATTATCATAAAAATGAAGTTGTTCTGTAATTGAATTTTAATGGTTTTATAATTTCATAAAAAAAATACTTTCTATATTTTCTTTCGAAATATGAATTCTTATTTGAAATTTTTTTTTTAAAAATAATTTTCAAATTAGTTAGTTAAATCTAAAATTATTTAGTAATTAAATTTCGGAAAAATGATTTATTTTAATTTTTAAGTATTTCGTTTGTGTGCTCATTATATGAAATAAATATTTTGTTCTGTAAAACTAAATTTTTTCTTCTAATTATTTCTAAAAATTTTTATATTTTTAATACACACAAAAATATTTTATAAATTTTAATTTATATTACATAAAGGAGGAATCCCCTTCCCAATATAATAAAATAAGCCAATAAAAGAATACGCTAAATGAACACAAAATATTTCAAATACAATAAAATATCCTGACTTGAAAGTTGCAGAAATAACTATGGTATTAATAGATATCAAATTCGGCTTATTACTTGTTGAAATGTTTAACATTGCAATATTTTTGTAATTTTAAAGGCTGCAATTTATGTGTAGTAAACTTGTTAACCAAATTAGGATTCCACATTTTATTTAAATTTTTCTTTCTTTGAATCTGGATTTATTTCTTTGAAGGTTTGCATTTGCGATTACTTGGTCTGCTGCAATTATGAAATAATTACTTTTTGCCTAAATATTTTTTTTTAGTTTCTTGCAAATAATAACATAATTTTCAAACTGGCGTTGTACTGTAATTTTTATTTTTAATCTATACAAGATGCAAGCGAACAAAAGATGAGTACAATAAAATTGAATTTTCTTTTGAAATAAACGTCTGTGATACTCTGTTAAGTCGCAATTTGTTTTGATTATGAATTTTATGTTTTTCTTTATTTATAGAAAAGTTTACAGATCTTTTTATTTGTTGTTGATTATTTTTTATTTTGTTTGTTTTCTTACTACTGTAAATATATTTTGGCTTATAAATATGGAGAAGGTGAGAATGTGTAAGTACAATCCCCATTTGTGGTTTTTACTTTTGAATTTTATTTTTAAATGATAAGTATGAATAAGAAAACCTATGTTGTATTTAAAATTGATATGTTAGTTGAAGTATTAACTTGGAAAACAAAGTTTTTGGAGAAGGAATTTGAAGAGAATAAACTAAAATTAGGTCGTTACTACATTGGAGTATTAATTAATAATGCGTTTCATTTAAGAGTTGGTATATAGGTATTATATAAATGTATAACACTTTTAACATAAGTCTGTTTAAAAGAATAAATTGCAGATTTATTGCGGTCGGTTTTCAGGATGGATTAATTTACGATTTCTTAAATCCTTATTTT